ATAACCACTTCCTACCTATGTGACTTTGATCAAATCAACTAAGTCTTAGGTCAACTAAATCAACTAAGTCTTAAGTCCTTCATCCACAAAATAAAGATAACAGAGCCCATAGAGTCACTCAGAATTAACCCATCTTTAGTGTTTAAAATAGGATCTGTGGGCACACAAATATTATTAATGAGTTAAGTTATTTAGCTATTGTTTCTGAACACCTATGTGCTTATTTATTTCAAAAAAAATAATGGATAAGAGGCTTTTGGTACAGAATAAACTCTAAAAAGAGATGGTTAAAAAGAAGTAATTTATTCTTCAGTAGTGCTGTATAAGAATGTTGGTTTCTACATTACGGCAGAGGCAGATCAGCCTCAGCATACCCTACTCATGACTGAACTAGCACAGACTTACAAAGGTTTGACGGTCGTGAAATCGGGATGCATCTGACCATCATTGTTACCCAGGTGACCACTGTTTGTATGAAGCTTGTTGACAACTACTAAGATCACGGGAGAATATCAGTGTGTCTTAACATCTGTGAATTTCATTTTCATTTAGCAGATATGAAACAGATAAATGTACATAAGAATTGTGGTCTAAGTGTGAAGTAAATGACATAAAAAATAGGTTATGCAGTTTTCAAAGAACATCTTTGATTAAATCTCAGAACTGTACCTGAAGAACTAATGCGGCTCCTGGCTGCTTTTGGAAGACTGGCGAGGACTGATGGAGGGAGCAGAAGGTCTGCTGTCTCTCCACCTCTGCCTGTATTTCTAGAGCCATAATTCGGGCCTTAGTGCAATTGCGTAGAAGCCCAAGACAGCATTCTTTGGCTATTGTATGCATCATTCTCTCTGAATTAAATACCTCCTGCCGACTCCACCCCTCTCACACCTTGACTTCCTATTTTAAAAGTCTACCAGTTATCTAAACATGGTGCACTCTGCCTGTAGGTCTTAGCTTACACATACGTTAGCTAGGGAGCTTTTTCTGATACCCTGATATTTGTTAATTATTATTCCTATTTCCTGTTGTACTCATCCCATTCCTTTACTTTACTTGTTATACAGTATTTTAGTTCCTACTGACTTGATGTCTGTCTCGTTAAACTAAAAGTTTCTAGAAATGAGTGTTCTTTTGCTCTGCTTTGGACTCCAGGTCTGGTACCATGTCTGGCCCATGGCAGGGGCTTAATAGATTTAAAGTGAATGAATTACCTTACCCAGCCCATGACGGTAACCTGTGATTACTGGATGTAGTCATAAGGGTTCCAGCATGACTTCACTGTTTTGGGAAGATCTAGTGCTTTGCTAATGTTCACTAAGAGTTGGAGCATAAATTATGTACTTCTAATATTATGCAGTCTAAAATTCCTTTTATTTCAAATTTATTATGAGTGCTTATTTTAGAGCAAGCTGTTGGTGCCTGTCTGAGAGCCTCGTTAAGTTGTCTCTTTAACATTGCATGAATCAGGGCATACCACATCTGAGAGCCTATTTCCAGCTGTTGGTACAGTGAGAGCGGAAACCAGAAGCTGAAAATGAGTCATCAGTCACTTGCCAGCATTTAGGCTCCTTTCAGCTTAATCTGAAACAAAATTGTGTTCCTTTGTTTTTTCCCTCTCAAGATACTCACGCTATTTGCTTGTCAGCTAAGTTTTTCTGAGTTGCCCGTGAGTGATTACCCAGTCGGTTTCTCTTGTGGAGTGAAACTCTTGCCCCTTGAGATTAAAATGTTAATTAAAAGATGTCAGCTGGTTTGTGTTTATACTTTCTTTTTTTTTTGTACCAAGAATTGAACTCAGGACCTTGTGCTTGCCAGGTAGGCGCTTGTCCCTCCAAGCTATATCTCCAGCCCTTATACTCTTTCTAAATCCATCAAATATGGTGCTTGAATTGAGGGTAATTGGTCAAATTTTGCACTCACTTAAGGGCCAAAAATGTTGCCTCTTGTCTAGACAAACTCTGCATACCCTAGAATCTGTTGGGATCAGGGGAAAAAACTGATTAGTTTTGTAGTAGAGTTTGTGTGACACCGTGGGATACACCTAAGAACGGGTGTGCTGAAGTAGATTAACTGTAACACATGGAGACAGAAAAGGCAGTCACTGTGATGCCTGAACTCAACCCAGGCTTCTGTGTCATATCATGTATCTGAGTAACTCTTGTCCATGCAACAGTATTTGCATTGTGAGATCTGTGTATCAGTGGCCTTTTAAGAAAATGTAGCCCTGAGCAGGGACAGTGTCTCTTCAAAGCATGCCAGAGTGCTTAGATATAGCCAGGAAATTAACCATGTCAGGAGGCAGGATAATATATCCTGTGAAGCCTGAAACCTCTTTTCCTATGCTAATAATTGTCAATTTGTGCTATTTCTTGTCTCTTTCTTTTTTGGGTGGGGGTTGAGACAGGGTTTCACTATGTAATGCAGACTGACCTTGAACTCAGTTAATGTAGCGCAGTCTGGCCTTGATCTCACCATGATCCTCCTGCCTCAGCCTTCCCAGTGCTGGGATTACAAGTGTGTGTCACTGTGCCTGGTTCACATGTGCTATTTCCACCATAAGGTGTCTTTAAGTTTTTTTGGTTTTTCTTCTTTTGTTTTGCTTTGTTGGTCTCTGCTTGATGCTCTTCAGGGCAATTGTTGAATAGGGTGTAGAGCAGGGTCACGAGGGATCCTGGTGCCCCTGCCTGCTCTTTCTGCTGCTCTCGGAAACATACATGCCCGAGGCCCCAGTGTCACAGTGGGGGCGGGGGAGCTCTACACTGACTGATCACAATTTTAAGGTTTTTGACAGAATCTTGGTATCCTTATTATTTTATTATTCTTTTTGGTCAGTCAACTAATTTTCTTTTGAGTATGGTGCATAGACAGGTATTTAATTCACTGGTGGAGGTTTCTTGAACTTGGACTATGGGATATAGAAACTTTGGAAAGGGTTCAGAAGAGAAGATGACTGAAAAGGAACAACTTTTGGGAAAATAAGTAGGAGTGTTGTAGTTACAGTATTTAGCTTAGAAAAGAATGGGGTCAGTGTTATATTTATGCACCAAGAATAGGATCTTTTATGAAACAGAAGGCAGTAAGGACTTTGGTTGACTGCACAGTGTGGAAAGCAAGGGAAACTGGATTCCGTGCTGGGTAACAGATTTGTCTTTGGTGGAATGATGATTTCCTTTACTCTTGAGGATTCATTAACCAGGGAACAGATTACAAAAGGCTGTGGGATTTACTTTAGAATCTGCAAAAACCAGTAAATTTTTCTCTGCCTGGGATAGCTGTGAAGATCAAAAGATCATGTAACTTTTTAAAATGATTTTTTTCTTTTAAGATCCTAGATTAAAAGAGTTACAATTTCTTTTCAAAAGCAGCTCTGTGTCCATATCCCTAGGCAATGGAGGAAATAAGTGATATAAATCACAGTGAGGCTCCCGTCTCATTTTGGAATTAGCACCAAATCTTACTCTGTGAAGGATTGTGAATTCCTAGGTAATTGCTTTCTTGATCGCTTTAGGCTCAGTAACTCTCTCTCATTGTTTTAAGTTGTGTGAACATACGTTTATTAAAATACTAATGAGACCGAAGCAATGCTGATTAAAAACAAAATTATGTGTTTAAACTTTTCAACATTGTGAAGTCAAAGGTAGATTCCAATATTGGAGGACAGATCCAGCGCTGCTAATGAATTGTTTGCTGTGTGCTAGAGTTATGTTTTTTTTTTTTTTACAAGAGTTTGTTTCAGGTCTGTTGAAGTTACAAAAATTTTTATAAAATGGAATTTTTAAAATCATAAAAGCAATTTATCCTAAAAGTCCTCAGTCGGGTGTATCTTCCCTGGTGGTTTTTGCAGCATCTCGTTATTAATAAGTGCTCTGCTGGCTGGGCACTACACTTGGAGTAGGTTTTGTTTACTGGCCCCGGTTATAATTTTTTAAAATGTTTGAGATTGAGATTTTTTTCTTTTCTTGCTCCTCCTTTCCTGCTCATTGACTTTTGTCTTGTGATCACCCTTCCTTCCCTTCAAAGTCGCACTTTAAATACATGTTTAAGTGTTATTTCCTGGCTTCGTCTTGCCTGGTTTCCTGTGCCTGTTATCTTTTGATTTGCTCTCCATTTTCAGCTTGGGGTTTGTCCTATTTCTGAACTAGGTCGCTGTATTTGAAGGTATTTGTCCAGTGTTTTCTTGTCTTCTCTTGGAGAGGGATTTGGGCTTACCAGTCACACCTATTTTGACTGATACCTTGAAGGCAGGTCAGCAGTTTTCTTGACAGCAGCAGGGTCGGTGTGCTCCGCAGTAGCCCTGCCCTGGATCCCCTGTCCCTTCTTAGTGTCGCTGGCTGGATGCTGTCGCCCACACTGACCTGAACTACTGCTGTTCCTCTTGCTCCATCACTCCGCTTCATGGGCTGTTGTTCTCAAGCATGCTATGAAGCAAATTTGCACCTTCTCTCCTTGCTTATAATCCTTTATTCCAGTCTCTTGTCCACAAAATATCATCTAAAACCCTGAGCAATCCGGGTGTGGTAGCTCACACCTGTAATCCCAGCACTTGGGAGGCTGAAGCAGGAGGATTGCTGTGAGTGCGAGGCCAACCTCAGCTATAAAGTGAGTTCGAGGCCAGCCTGAGAGAAACGCTGTCTCAAAAAGACAAAATAAATGAAACCCTTCGCACACGTAGAATTCCGTGCATGCCTGACCTTTCCCAGCCGCCTGGGCACCATCTTTCCCCATCATACCCTGTGTTCTCCACTCTCCCCTTCATCACTCCAGCCACATCACATCGCATGTTCCGGGCGCAGGAAACAGGCTGAGCAAAGGCTTGGAGCTGAAGCGTGTGGTTCTCAAGCTTGGGCAGTGGAATCAGGACGTGGCCCGGCTGTGCTAAGCACCAGTCTGAGGTCCGCAGCCGATGCGAGGTCATCCTGTCGTTCCCTAAAGGGAGAGGAAAGGGCCGCAGTCCACACCCGCGCTCTGATGCCATCCTCTGTTTCTCTCCCCGACCACAGCATGTGATGGCGATCACTGGGGGCCGCACTGCAGTAGCCGGTGCCAGTGCAAAAACGGGGCTCTGTGCAACCCCATCACCGGGGCTTGCCACTGTGCTGCCGGCTTCCGCGGCTGGCGCTGCGAGGACCGCTGTGAGCAGGGCAGCTATGGCAACGACTGTCACCAGAGATGCCAGTGCCAGAACGGAGCCACCTGCGACCATGTCACGGGGGAATGCCGCTGCCCACCGGGTTACACCGGGGCCTTGTAAGTGACTGCCGTGCTGCTGCAGGGAGGCACAGCCCACCGGCCTCTCAGCGCATGCGCTGCCGCCATCGCCTGCCTTGTGCCTCTGTTTCTGTTGCAGTCTGAACAGCTACTGGCGGGTGTGGACTCCACACAGAGATGGGAGAGGAGCCGCGGTGGCCCTCGGTCCTCCTGCTGTGCAGCCCTTAAGTGTCAGAACCCAGTCAGAACTGCTAGGTCGGCTCACCAGGTAGAAAGAGTCAGGTTGCATTAATGGCAACAGAGGTCTTTGTGGCAGATTTGAGTTCCACTCTGATTCCACCACGGTTATATTCGCTCTATACTGCCGCAGATCTATCGCGGACCAGCTCATTCTGCTCTCTGACAGCCATTTAGCTGGATAAAGGAGGGTGCGTTAGTGTCTTCGAAAAGAAAGACGTTACAAACAGTCCATACAAAATTCCAGAGATTAACTGAGTGACTCAATGCCCAGGGTTATGTATGTTGCTGTGTAACTATCAAATCTGGGTAGGTAGTGCGCACGTAAATAGTTTTTAATTTTTTCTGGAGAACTTTGAAGCAGCTACTCAACCCCCATTGCTTTTTTTATCTTGTCAGAAGGGAATTCTTCAATTTGCTTCTATTAGCAAACAGAGTAAGAGGCAGAATTTACCTCCAAAAAATTAAGAAACAGAAAAATCTTATTCCCTTACTGAGAAAATTGTACTTATAAATCACAAGTAAAACTTAGGAAAAAATGGAGCAGATTAGGTAAATACTTCCTGCTATGTATTAATGTCCATAAAGTAGAACTAAAGGAAAACTACATTAGCCTAGAAGGCCCTGATTTTCAAAAGAATGGATGATCATTGTCGTAAACTGTTTAATTGTTAATATTGTTTTTTATGGGTTTCCAAGGAGGCCACAATTGAATAGGGCTGTGGGAAAGTTGGAGGGACTTCACAAGAGAGCAAAAGAGACAAAGGCTTAGCGAAGGTCTACAGGACAGACAGAGGGGGTTAAAGGAAGGGAGACTGTCAGTCTGAAGAAGTGCTGAAAATTGATTATGATGAATATGTGCACCAAGGGGGTAATTTGCAAATGTTTTGATTTTCTCTGACATTAGAATAAACACAAAGAAAAGCAGGCTTAAGTGTAGCACAAGTGCTTTATGAGGGTTATGTATAAAGTTCTTGTCAACGAGTGGTGCTTTGGCTATTTTACAGAGTACTCTTTGAAAAATAGACAGATTTTCTTCAAAGTGAAATTGTTTCCTTAGAAAGTGCCCTAAAGCAAAGGACAGCCTGGGTGAGCTCCCCAAGACATTTGCAGCCCACAAGATAAATGCCCTGGATGTTAGTTAAATAATCATTGAATGAGGAAATCTCCTCAGCTTTAGGGCCCTGGGTGCTGTTGTGTCTGTGAACCTGAGGATCATGTGATTGGGTAACTAACAGTGTCCTTCGTCACACTTTAATCCCTCAGCTGTGAGGATCTTTGTCCCCCTGGCAAGCATGGACCACAGTGTGAGCAGAGGTGCCCCTGCCAAAACGGAGGAGTGTGCCACCACGTCACCGGAGAATGCTCCTGCCCCTCTGGCTGGATGGTAAGCTTCTAAACCCCTCGCCCCCTCCACGCCCCAGTTATGCACTCCAGATCACTCCCATGAATACCAGGTGAAGAATTTCTGTATGAAAGACAGCAGCAATATCAGATAAAGGTTCTCAATCTGGAAACACATAGCCATTTTAAAACTGAAATCCTTGTGTCCAGAGAAAGCAGGAAGAGTACCTGGACTTGAAGTGTATGAGGATCCTCCTCGGACGGATAGATTGTAGCCATCTGTTCTACATTTTTCCCTAATGGCAAAAAGATAGCACAGCTGATAAATACTGGAATTGTTTAATAACTATTTCATAATTATGTGCATTGGTTACTATTATTTTTTTGAGAACACTATTCTCACCAGATTGTTACATGAAAATGTTTATCCACTCATACAAATCTGGAGAATCTCATACATGAAAGTAACCCAAGTGCACTGAGTAGTGCAGGACTTCTCAGAGCCCTTAGTGTGGTAATACAGGAGGAAGCTATAACTCCCCACACACCCCAAATTTTACCGTAACACCTTTTCTTCATGTAACAATTTCATAGGCTTAGTGCTATTTGGCACACGCAGTGTCAAAGCATTTACTAATTAGACTTAACCTGAAATCAGGAAATAACACTGGTTCTTCTTTTTGGGTTGGTTTGTGCAGAGCAGTGAATTACCAATGTCTGTCTCCTTCATTAACTACCTAGGTAAAAGAGCACTTTGCTCCATTATCACCTCTTTCTCTGAGTTTCCAAGGTGACAGGTGACTTCCTAGTGGCCAAATTCCCTGAGGACTCTACTGTTTTTCTCTTCTGGACTCTGCTGCACTTCTTTAACGTTGTTGTTCTGTTGATCACTCACCTCCCTTCCTTAACCCTTGTCTTCCATTCCTCAAATAACCCTGTTTGGTATTTCTCCCATTACCGACCTCTTTCCCTCATCCTCTTTCTTCTATGTACTGCTTTATTTGGCATTTCCTAGGTTTTTGCTTCATCCGTTTCCTTACAAAGTGCCCTAAAACAGTTTCTTTCAGGGCATTTGTCTAGAAATTTCATGCAGATGCACGACTTTTGCAACCATCTGCTGATTTCACCAGATCTCAGTCTTACCGACTCTGAGCCCAGATGTGTGTTTGCCACCATCCGTACAGACACTGCAACCTTGATAACGGAGAGACACAACGACACTATATCTCTGGGCTATGCCTAAGATGCAGTCTCCATAGCCAGATGTGGAGGTAAACCAGCCTGGAATTTCTGCTTATCATGGTTCTGAAACAAAGGAAACGCAGAGTGCACTTCCCAAGGAGAGTCTCGGGAAGTGTGGTAGAGTTCAGAACGTGAAGACCACGGAGGCAGGTGTACAACGGATACCCAACGTGGGGGTCAGAATGCCGAAGTCTGACCCTAGAAGCAAAACATGAAAAATTCCACACGACAAGGGAGTCAAAGGGAAGCAACCTTTTATTAAGTGCCTGAGGGTGGGGCCAACACGGAAGCTGTTATAGGAACACAGAGCTGGTCCCAGCAGGCGGAGCAAAGTTAATGTCAACAAGTCAAACTTGTTTTATGCCTAAGCCTTCCTCACAGCCATTTCTCTTCTACCTTTTTACAATTTTGTGGTATTGGAGGTTGAGCCCAGTGTTTTCCCACTGAGCTACCTCCCCGGCCCTTACCTGTTTATTTAGGTTTTGATTTTGAGACAAGGTTTTGCTAAATGCTAAATTGCTCCCGCGGGGCTCAAATTTGAAGCCTCCTGTCACAGCCTCCCAGAGCGCTGGGCGTACCACCACACCCAGCCTCTCCCTTTTTTATAAGGGAAATTCAGCACGTCATTGCCCAAGGTAGAAATACTATCTCTAGCCTATCTCTGACTCCCTCTCTTCTTTCATTACCTATGTGCAGTCCTTTGCGGGGACAGGTTGTTGGTTGCAAGGGAAAGATTCGCTGGACTGGCAGTGTCCAGAGAGCTCTGTGCTCTTTAGATGGGGAGCTGCAGGCGTTCTGCTCCTAGGCATGTTGCCGCGGCGTTATGTGTGAGTTGCCTCTTCCTCAGGTTGCAGCTTTTTTTCTTCTCGGGTGGAACGGTCATTACCTGAGGTAATGGGCCCGGACTGTGAGAGCAGTAAGTAGACAGAGGGACCCTCCTGGGTCCACTGGAGCCCACCTCTCACCACTTCCTCTGGGCGCCGGGCCTCTGCCTCCACAGAAGCTTCTCACTGAGTGCTGTAGACCATCTCTTCTGTGTGTAGCAGATCTTACCACTTACAGTCATCCCTTATGACGTTAAATTTGTGCTATCATTTTAGGTGTTTTTCAAAGATGACCATATATTCTTATTAGATAAATACGCACAGGCGTGCTCCAACTAATAGAAATAATGTCTCCTTAAAGATGTTTGCTTGCGTTAGTCCGTGTTCATAAATAATGTTTCAACTGCGTCCCTGAGCTTGAATGGAACTGTTATGGGTAGTTAGAAACAAGTCCTGACAGTGAAAATTTGCACAAAACCCCCAGGTGGCTATGCGCTGATTCTCATCATGACGTCACCTTTGACCTTATACCAAGTAAGTGATGAGGAATTAGAGCTGTTCTTACATGTGTCCCCTCACTGCCTTGTGAATGAATCAGAAACTGTGTCCTTTTCTGTGCTTAATTCTCAGTACTTGCCACTAGGTCTGGCACATAGATGAGTCTCAGTTAAGCCCTAATTTGAATTATCTCTCAAGGGCTTTTTCAGTTCCAAGAGTCTGCTGACGAACTTTCTCTGTTTGTAGATAGCTAGAAACCACCAGAAGAGACTTAATTAGCGCACCAACTGCCTTTGTGGGTAGCCAGTAGTTACAGAAAATGTATTTTCTTATGCTATCCAGAGTAAACATTTACAGAACCATCTGGTGTTTGCTACCCTCCAATTTCATAGAGCTCACAGTCTGCCTTTTTTTTAGCCAGAGGGAGGACAATGCTTTTCTGATAGTTAAAAGCATTAGAAAAGTCCCTGTTCTGTGGAATACGTTGTTTGCTCTAATTATAATCCAATAGATACTCCAATAATTATAACTCCACTAAACCCAAAACTACAAGTTGTGTAGCTTAGTGAGGTAGAAAATAGTAGAGTATTTCATTGGCTGCTTGGTATTTTATTCTTATCCATGTAGGATTGTAGTAAGTGTAAAGACTGAGCTGGAAAGATGGACAGCCTCTCAGATGAGGAGAAATATCGAAATTACTCTCAATTTTTTTCCCGGGGAAATAAGCTTTTTCATTGATCTTGGCTCAGAAATACTTAATGAATCCACTGAGAATCAGTCTTTTGCTTCTTAAATATGTCTAGGTTCATTCCTATGGAATGTTTCAACAGTCAATGCTGTTGTTAATTCAGGTACGCAAGATTTTAATCTTATATAAGGGTGCATTTTAAGAAACGCAGCCAGTGATAATGTGTACTTTCTCTGGAACATATGGTAAAACATTTGGATCTTCCACTTGGACCAGGTGTTGCCATTTCTGTGAGGGAGGCTCAATAAGTACTGGTGACTTACTGTGCATAGAAGATGCAGGAAGAACACTTAGGAGGATCTATAAATTCCTTAGGTTGTTGAAATAATACGATGTAACTTTATCTTATGCTGCAGTGTTTAATTTTTCTCAGGATTACTATTTTGTTGCCTTTGAATGTATCTGGAGACTTGGAGGTCCGAAGGAAATAAGTCCCTCTAACATTTTAAGATGGTGAACAGTGTCCGTGCTCTAAAATGCCCTTAATCTCGTTTTCTTGCAGTCCTTTCTCCATCCCCCGTCCTGTTCTGCTTCTTCTCTTTTCTTCCCCTTCCTTCGGTCCTTCTCTGGCTGGTGGCCCATCTAATTTTCCAAGTCTCTTTGAATGCAGGGCACAGTCTGTGGTCAGCCTTGCCCGGAGGGTCGCTTTGGAAAGAACTGTTCCCAAGAATGCCAGTGCCATAATGGAGGGACATGTGACGCCGCCACAGGCCAATGCCATTGCAGTCCGGGATACACAGGGGAACGGTAAGGGATGCTCTGGTGTTTTTCTGCCATCCACAATGATGCGAAAGAAAAGCTTGGAAGGTTCAGGGAGACTCCTCAGTATCCTGTGTCTGTGATTGTACACAGTGTCCCAGAAGTACCTGGAAAGTGTCCCTGTGTCTGAAAGAGTCTACTCTAATTCAGTGTATAGAACTGAATGACAGACAGCCGTGAATTATTGCTCTGTAACTGCTGTTCTCTGACCCATCAATGATGGTGATAGTGGCATGATTGCTCTTGCCAGTTGTCACCGCATCTGGGTTCCGGGGTTGGCACACATACCCACGCACAGTAACAACAACACATTTGTCACTGTGGAAGAAAAACACTGAGTAGCTATGGGCGCTTTGTGGCGGGAGATGTAGGGCAGGATGCCTTGACGTCTGAGGTCTTAACTTGTTCCTTCCCTTTTCTCGAGAGGTTGGTGTAACTTGATCTCAGAGGTCAGAGCAGTGCTGCTGCCCACAGAGAAGGTGCCACCGCAGACAGATGTCAGGAAAGCAGTTCTAGCATGTGGGAACAGCCCTGCCAGCCACAGGGCAGCAAAACAATAAAGCAGGCCCCCTGTCGGCTGGCAGAGTTGCCCATGGATGACCAAATAGAGGCTTGGGGTCTGCGGGAAGGTCAAGGCGACACCGTGGTCAGGAGAGCTACTGTGGCGCAATCAGTAAAGGTGAAGAAGGAACGGGTTCCAGATCCTCACAAAGTTCTTATGAAGGGGTTAGAAAAGCACTCCCAGTGTTAAAGGCATTTCCACAGGGCCATTCTGAGGCCTAGTGTGGGTCTGTGCACAGAATGGGTGCTCAGTTTGGCTGGATGAAGGGATCTGGGGCTTGACAGTGGAATTATGAAAGTGAACTGCCCTGCCAAGCCTCTGCCCCGTTTCCCTGAGAATGAAGATGTGAGTGAAGGAGGTAAAGTCAGAAGTTACGTACAGGCTGGCACCCGGGGAGAGCAGCATCGGTCTTCAGTAAAGGAACTGTTTCCGGTCCTAGGACCCTGGGAAAGTTGGCTCCTTCCTGGTGCTTTTTATATTTTTCTCTGGAGCAGCAGCTCCAGATGTTAGAAAGGCAGGCAGCTGACCCATCCAGTCTAGGTTTAAAAATGAAGGACATTAATGGTTTGAACAATCTTCCATTCTTACATCTGGTAATCTGAGCAACTTAGTTGAGGATAGCGATATGTAATATAACAAGCACTGTTAATTTGTATTATTTTGTCTTGAAACCCTATATCACTTTAAGTGTTCTTGCTTTGGTTTGTTTATGTTTGTGATACCGGTATGCTGCTATTGTTCTTTTGCTTTGTTTTGTTTTGTTTGTTTCTCATTTACTACTCTCTTTAAAATAAAATTTTAAACAAAATGAAGGACATGATTTGTCCTTCTAAATCATGATCTGGCCTGACTGTTCTGGTCGCTGTAGGGAGGGACATGCTCAAAAGGGCAAGGGTCAAAGGGGAAGCTGCCACCTCTTACACACTCACTCACATCCTTAAATTCACAGTGAGATACAGTAGAACAGCCAAGTTGGCATTAAAACAGACCTGTGATCCTCAGTGGTTTGGTCATTGGTGTTGTGTTTTCTTAATCTCTACTTCATGTTGATCCATTTTTCCAATTCCAAGTTTTTTGAATTGTTTTTTAAAATTAAAGTCCCAAATTTCTGTATTTCTACTTATTTTTGTCCAATTAAAATAGTAAATTTTAAAAACGTGGGAAATATGTATTTCTAGAAAGACATCCTACCTTTTGGTCTGGGAGATGGAAATCAATGCAACTGTTATTAAGAAGATTCTCTTACAAGTGCAACACCCACAAAAAAAGGAACCAAGCTGACATAATGACTGCTTCAGGAAGAAAAATCTAAAGTAGTTTTTACTTGACACTTACAATACAAACCAAGTATGCTTAATAACAGATTAGAAAGGTGAATATGGGTCAGGGCCAGCTATTATGGACTTTGTTTTCGCAGAGAATAGAAAGACTCTGCCAGCTACGATAAAATACGCACTCTGTTCTCTGCAGTTTTGTAACAGATACTTTCTCAGGCTTCTCCTCTATGCCTCTTCTAGAGTGCTTTTCACTGAGTCGAAAGTATGAAAATAGTCCAAAGCTTAACATTTGCATTTGTTTCCAAACCTATTTAAGAGAAAGTAATGTTATTTTACTCTGCGTATATTTTTCCTTTTGCCCCGAGATGGAAGGAAATCCAGACAGGCGGGTTGTAAAGTTGTCTTGCTACCCTCCAACAGAAGCCATGTCGAGGTGAAGTCATTATATCTCAGTGTTTCTAAATTTAAACTTTATGTCTTCAAAGAACAAACTAGAAGTCTTGGCTTATTACAGCTTCCTACAGATTGAAAATAATGAGGATCTTTAAAAAAAAATGTGGCCCAAAAATAAATGTATTCACGAATAACTATAACACGTGTGCTAGATTTTATGCTTTTAGCTGCATTACCCCAGGATTTCTGTCACGGGTTAGTGTTTGAAGGCTTTGTCTATTGACAGTACACCCGAAGATGTGTCTAGAATCTGTGAAATGAAGCTTGCTGGAGCCCCTTTTCCTCGTCTCTGTAACAGTCAGTACATGCTTGGGCCACATTAACCAGAAAGCTCTCAAAGGATTTCCAAGATTTGTGCTCTGTACTAGCATCGTAGTACTGCCAGCCACCATCCCCTCTCATTAAAAATATGGAAAGCCTTGGGAAAAGCCATTTCTGTTTTGAGTATGTTTCTTTGCTGTTTTGTTAAGTATACTTAAATTTGTTAGCATGCCTTGCTGCTCACGTAACACAGATCTGAAAACTTAATGCCTCCGCATATTCTCGACTCTGACTGGAATGTCTTGCGAGCCTCCTGGGGAGAGGCTGCTGAGACCAAGGGGACCCCACTTGCAATGAGTGCCCAGGTAGATGACACCCCACCTCTTCCCTCTCCTTGGCAGAGAGCTCCCCTTCTGCTGCAGAGAGCCCCAGCAGTCCCCCTCACCAAGAAGCAGCTTGGCCAGCCCAAGAACTGTTTGCGCTATCCGTGAGAGATAGATAATTTTCTCTTTCCTGTCACGATTTCCACAGCAGCTCAGCCTCCCACCTCATTCACCTTATCTGCAGCGTGTCCTTCCTCCAGGACAGAATTCTCATGCTATTTTTTTAAGAAACACAATAAAGTAAATTTTTGAGGACTGATATTTTTTCCTTGCCATTTTACAAACTCTTCACCACAGAGGATGACGTCCCTCTTGCCAAAAATTCTGTTTTAGGAAACTCCAACCCTTCCTATAACCTATGGCAAGAGTTTCCCAGTTGAAGTAGAAGACACGTGATGTCAGTAGCTTGGAATTCCCCAAATCTAAAGGGAACCTACTCGTTATTTACATAACTTTCTAAATGAAGGGCAATGATTACTGTTGAACTTGGAGAAGAGAGGAATCATAGTTGAGATTAAAAATTAATGTCAAAGTGAAGCCAGGAAAGTAAATCTAAGTGTCAAAAGGGCACAAGTTTTTTCTACTGGAAGTAGGGAAAAGTGACTTTTTAAGTTTTCTAACTATGGTCTGGGACTACTGTACGCGCAATTTCTTTTCTCCTTTTCTTGGTGTCTACTGAAGCGCTACATATGCCTTTGGCAAACACAAAGTGTGAAGCATTCTTCATGTCCTAAGCTTACAATTTTATTATGCTTTGGTATTAATTCCTCTGCTGTTCCTACTATATAGCCAAAATAATTCATCTCAATGGTTTTCTATCTGTAATGGGATAATCAGTAAATAATATGAAGTTTAAAAAGCAGTTTTATTTGTACACAATAAAAGCTTTTCGAATGCACCATTTATTTTTACACAGCACTAACTAGTCTGTCTTCTGCCCCCGCGTCTTACTTGATAGGTGCCAGGATGAGTGCCCTGTGGGGACCTATGGCATTCGCTGTGCGGAGACCTGCCGGTGCATCAACGGGGGGAAGTGCTACCACGTGAGCGGGGCGTGCCTCTGTGAAGCTGGCTTTGCTGGTGAGCGCTGCGAAGCGCGCCTCTGTCCAGAGGGTCTCTATGGCATCAAATGTGACAAGCGGTGCCCGTGCCACCTGGACAACACTCAAAGGTGAGTGCTGGTTGCCCCTGGAAGAGCATGTTCTGTTGAAGTTTTAATCTTAGTGTTCAGGATTTGGAAGGAGGGATCCATAGAGAGTATCACACCGCAAGAGCTTTCCTACCCCTGGGATATCCTGGGCAGGAATCATCACGCCAAAGGAATCAGCGAGTGATGGGCCAGGTCAGAAGTACTAAAATTGTTAGATGGCTGCTGGTGGATATGAAATTCTTTTCTCTATTAATGCACCTGATAAAGATTAAGTTTGCTGCGTTTAGTACACTTTCCCTAAGAGAGGGATTCTGTGACACTCCTTTAGAAGCAAAGACGCAGTGGAGAGACAAGGGGTTAAGTCGAGTTTAGAACATACCAATACCGTAAAATATTTTCACTGCAATATCTTTTACTTGACAACACATCTGTGGAAGCAAAAAGAGCTATAGAGAGGAAGTGGATCAGTGAAGGTCTTGTGAAAGTGCTTCACATGTGGCTGTCACATGTGAAATATCTTTTCAGGACTGATTACTCGAAGGAGTCTTTTAGTTCAAAAATCTCTCAAAGAATTTGAGAACAGGAAACCACAATCCCACCCACCCTACTATACCTTGTCTGCTGAAAATATCTTCCCACCCTCTGTCTTCTTTCCCTCCTCTAAGGGCCAGATTAGACACACATAACTTAGAATTCTGGGCCATATTTGAAGACTTCTGGAAAAGCTGAATTTGACAAAAATGTAGTGCATTATACAGCAGTTCAGATGTTGCTAGGATTACTATTCTTTGCATTCAGCACAGATGTTACTTCATTTATACTTCCGAAGAGTAACTCATGGCCACATGAAGTCCCAAAGGCACAGAAATCAAGAGTTAAAAGAAGCATATCATTGGTCTTCTCTTCGAGCCGCTGTTAAGAACAAAACAGGCAGACTTTGATTTGTGTTTGTGTGGTGTGTGAATGCAGGAATATATTTTAGTGGGACATGTCACAAAGTATATCCTCCAAGTTTTGGGCTTTTTTATTGGAAAATATTGCCATTCTAAAAATGTTTAGGCAAACATTTGAAGGATAAATGTGAATAGCCTCTGCAGAGTTTTGTTTCAATTCTACAATATTTAAGGAGCTAGTGGGGTTAGAGACAAGCCATGAATGTGACTTCTTTTTCTGAGGCACAAGGCTTGTTGCAAAAAAATGTAAGCCTCATGTAGCAGTAGCTAGGAGCATTTTGCCCCTGTATTTTTGTGTTGTATGTACACGCAGCTGAAATCAAATGCAGTGTTGAACCTACAGAAAGGAAGAGCTCTGCTATGAGAAAAATGGGAGTAGCAGAAAGAAGGTCGACTTTGTTGAAATTGAATACTATGTTAGTAGCAGCAGGGTGGAGGTAGAGAATACTTGATACCAATATGATAATTTTGAAATAGGTACCACGTAGCTAAGTATGTATGCTTTAACAAAGAAGTAAGTAAGATTACTTGACACTCACATAGATAGTATAAAAATAAAATTTGTCTAGTAATGTATGTCATATATCAGAAGATTAAAAATAGCATGAAAACTACTTTTAAAGACTACCTCTTACAAATTCCTATTAAAGTAATTTGAATATTGATTGTATGACTATCTGGTTGGGTTCATAATCAGAGGCATCCATTAATTTTTATATCTTGACCATCCAGAAATTCTTGTATCTGGAACTTCCATATAAAATTTCTGGAAAGACAATGTCCTTTTGAACCCAAAAGAACAGAATTTTTTTTAAATTCAAAGATCTAACCTACTCATTTACAATCTAATCAAGCAAGTGGAGCTTTGCTGTTACATATCATGATATACATTTATCCTTAAAGCTTTTCACTGTACTTTATATTTCATTTTAACTAATGAGATAGTAAATGCAATGTAAATTAATATTTACACTGTCTTTGGGTAAATTTTGAGTTCTACGGATGTGTACATTGACATGTATTACAGCTATATATTTGGGTAGGGGTTTGTATTGATTAGCTTTTGCCACATTATAAAAACCAGTCTACCCCAGACATAGTGGCATAAAGCACATTTACTTACTAGCTGATGATTTTTTGCTTGGCTGTTTGGGCTGGGCTCAGTTGGTGATTCTTCTGCTGGTCTCCCCGTGTTCAACTGGCGGGTCACACGGAGGCTAATTGGTCATGAATATCTTCATATGCACGTCTGACATTTTGGCTGGGTGATGGGAGTGCCTGACCCACGTATCTCCAGCAGCTAGCAGACCATACTGGGCTTTTTTATACCAGACCTGCCTTCTTACAGCTGCAACAGGCAGGGCAAGTCCCAACATGAAAACACCTTTCAAGACTTTGGTTGTGCCATGTTTGCAACTTTTGTGTGTAAGACAAAGCAAGTCCAGATTCAGTATGTCCCACTTCTTTATGGGAGGAGTTGTGAAGAATTTGTAATCATTTTTACTTTGTGATCTATTGTAGAGTTGTAATGAGTTTAATGTGTATACATAGTATCAGTACTTTAAATTTTAGTACTATTGTTGAGCCTAAACACATTTTATCATGATTTGAACTTTTCAAATGTAAATTACCTTTTATGGTGCAAATGATTTTGAACAAGAAAATAAAATTTGATAAATTTAATTTCATTCCATATGGCCTATGTATATTAGCTCTTATTAATAAGGACATTCATTCAGTAGCTGCCGGCAATCAGGATGTGCCTCTTTGTAAATGCCACCTAATTGCCACTGCTTTTGAGCATTAATAACATTTAGGAAATGAATACAAGGAAGCTCGATGACTCGTCCTGTTCTAGTGAATATTATGTATTATTATTGTACCTAATATAATAATTTCATTGTCAAATTTAAAAATACCTAGAAATTTAAAAATACCTCATATCTAGTTATATGGGTAAAATAACAAGCATTCCCCTATGTGTACAATACTGTTTTCCTTTATGCACTCTGTTCTTCAGATAGAAAACAGGTATTGAGTGTATCACCCTTCAACCTCCAAACTGCTACTCCTCCATCCACACATAAGTCTCATTACAATTAAGTTGCCTGCATGAGAACCCATCAAATGCCTCCAAAGTGCTCTGGCTTCCTACATCCAATTACAAAGTACAGAATGCTAATTTTGATGTCAATCAGTTGGAGAACCAGTGTGTTGCACTACCACTCACTGGGGAGAGGCGAGGATCAGCTTCTCTGTCGCCTGTCTCAGTTTGGTTCTGTCCCCAGATTGTCCATGTTGCATAACAACTATATTCCTACATCATGAATATTATCCTCTACTTTTCTAATGTAAAGCAATATTTTCTACCAAAAATGCCCTTCCTTTTATAGGATGTTAACATAATGTAAACGACTTTAACCCATTACTTGAAATATTTTCTTTTCCTCTTCTCAAACATAGGGCCTTCCTAATGTAAATGTAAATTTATCCCTGTTGTTTTGCACAGTCCTGCTGACCTGATAGGGGTTAGGAGTGCTGACTCTTGAATTGTAGCCATTCTCTTTCATATCTAGTGCCCCTTGCATGCTGCTAGCAAACTTCCTTTTTCTTGGCTGTGAAAACAAACCTCAGTTCAAGTTTGATTCTGTCACTACCTGTATGAGACTTTGAATAAATCTTACCCTTTCTATGCCCATCTTTCGGACAGTTATGAGGACTGAATTTGATAAAGTGTGGAATGCTCCCACTGATGGGCACCTGTTCAGTGGTTTATAAATACTAGCTGCTGGTCTGCGCCTTCACCAACAGTGACAACACAAGTATAACTGAGTGGCTCTTGGAATTAGTGATGATTCCCTTTAAGCCAAGACCTGTGCAGCTGTACTGATTCTCATTTAGCATTGCTTGAGAGATCATCTTTGAGAAATATCAGGAAGAAAGAGATTAACGTGTGAAAGTTAGTTCTGGAGTTGGATCCACTGAGCATCAGTTGTGCCTTTGCCATTTATTCATTCCATTAGTCTTTACTGTGAGCCTCTCATGTGCAGACTTAATTTTTCCTCACAGAACTCATATTTTGGAGTAGGAGAAAGACGTTAAAGGGCTGTGAAAGTAAACATGGGCTTATAAGTGAGCTGAAGAAGCAGATCAGGTGCAGTAAAAGAAGACAGAAGAGAACTAATTAAAATTTGGGTAGTCAAAGGTTCTCTGAAGAAATGTCTAAGTGGAGAGTGGAAGGGCAAGATATAGAGACATAGACAAAGAGTAGGAACATTGCCTTCTCAGAAAATGGAAAAACCTATGTGGCAGCCCTAACCTTGGAACCACTTGGATGCTTTCACAAGCTAAAAGAAGTACGTTGAGGTCTAACATAGACAAAGATGATAATGAGAAAAAGAGAGGTAGAGAAGAGGCAGTGGCCAGATGCTCAAGCTATGTGGGCTATATTTAGAGTGACCGTGTATCTGATTTCACAAGGACAGGCTGGTTAATCCTGTTAGCCTAATGTGAGTGTTAGTAACTCCCTCTTTGCTCTTAAAAGTGTTCCAGTTTACACAATAAATTATATAGACATACCATCTGTAATACACAGCATGGATTTTATTCTAAGTATAAAGTAAAACTTTGAAGAGTTTTAAGAGAGGAATGATACCATCTGATTTGCTCTTTAGGAAATGAGGCATGTGGCTCAGGAGGCTGCAGGAGGAAAACTGAAAAGTTGTCGAGGAATTCAGGAGCTGGCTTTTGTGGCACAGAGCAGGATGTAACAGTAAGATGAAGGGATGTGGAGAAAGCCAAAATATGCTCTGGAGGTTAGAACAGTTCAGTCCCAGTGATGAATCCAATATGGCAGGTAAAGGTGAGGGGTTTCCAGGAATAATTCCTGGGTAAACAAAGGGAATAATTTCTGGGTACAGCATGTAAATAAATACAGATAATCAGTGGAGAATACTGCTTGATAAATGAAGGAAGAACTAGGACTTGGTTTTGTTTGTTGTGCTAGTAATCAAGCCCAGGGCTTTGTACATGCCAGGCAGGTGCTCTACCTCTGAGCTACATCTCCAGCCTTAGGGCTCATTTTTTTTTACATGTTTAACTTGATATGCCATAGGGATGCCAGATGCCTGCTCAAGGATAAGCAATTACCTGAGCATAAAAACACAGATCTGAGACTCCAATCCTTGTCTTCTGAATCTAACCCTTTGATACCCAGAATACTAGCTCAATTGCAGAACTGAACTTGTATATTTCTTCTTGCCATGTTTACTAAATATGTTTGTGATGGGTGATGTCTTAGTTACTTTTGTCATTGCTGAGACAAAATACCTGACACCCAAAATTAAAGGAGGAAAGGTTTATTTTAGTTCAGAGTTTGTAGAGGTTTCAGTCCATAGTAGGCTGACTCCAAGGCAGGATGGCATGGCAGAGGGGTATAGCAGAGGAGAAACAGTCCATAGCAGGGCAGGCAGGAAGCAGCAGCAGGGAAGCCACAGCAGCAAGTCTCCCTGCCCTTTTATCCCTTCCAGGTTACAAGCTTTATGGGTTGTGCTACCCATACCTAGGACTGGCCTTTCCATTATCCATACCCAGAGCTCTGATAAACCAATCTTTGATATAATTTAATTATCACATCCTTTATCCATATTCACACACCCTTAATCCACATTTGCATAACCTGGACCCACCTACCTCTGAAGAGCCCCACCTATGAGTGCATGAGACTTTGGGGAGACTTCTAGATGTAAGCCATAACAGATTTTGCCTATGAATACCTAGTTTTAGCAGGAGTCTTAAGATATATTTGAATAAATTTCTGAAAATGAAGAACAAACCATCCAGCTTGTAGACTTTTTCTGAAGAAGAGAGAAAGACAAAAAAAAAGTGGTAAGAGAGAGAAAACAAGAAATAGAACATGAGATAATGAGGCATGGCTGAAAACCGCTCTGGGGAGACTAGACTGTAAAGCCCAGGAAGGAGATTGTGTGCCTTCACTGGAGGAATTACAGTCTCCATCTCTTGTAGACCATCATTCTTTTCAGAAGTAGAGACTCTATGGAATGTCCTCTGATAAGGGTTTCTTTAGTAAAAGTCTGGATGCGACAACAGATTTTTGTTTTTGGCCCCGGTTAAGGGGAAGGTTTTAACTCTGTGAGTCGAAGATCATCTTCAAACAGTCCTCCAATTGTCAGCAGAGCTAGTTTGATTGGCAAGGCTTTCCTGTGGTGAGAAACACATGTGTTCTGAGCCAGTGTGCCACAGAATGTCCTATTGTGTCAGTGTCCTCACACGTGCATCTAGCACAGCTGACGTGGCCATTTGCTGTGGAGCAACAGCTGGCTGCCCATCCCCTCAATGTGGTTGCTGTTTCAGGTGACAACAGCTGCTCTGCTACCAGGTAGAGGGAGCTGAGGAGACAAGCAGGCTGCCAAGGCCACTGTTTTTGGAGTTGTTTGGACTCACACTGGTTAACTGATGGGGTATTTTCACAGGATGGAATTTAGCGCTTCTCATTGAAACTGGCCTCTGATTGAGTTAGTAATTTTGATTCAAGAAAGTTAAAAAGCATTTCCAACCAAAGGACATGGTTGTAGTAGTCATCATGCAAGAGCATGATGTTGATTTCATACATTTCCGCAGCACCAGTCAGCTTTCAGTCAATTAATTAAATGATGCCAAGTCTGGGAATGAAGCTGATTGTGCATGGAATTACCCACACATTTAGTGATCATGGATAAAGCAGCATTTGCACAGGCCTTGGGTGTCGTGTTTACCCCAGAGAAACTTATTCCTTTCATCCACGTTTCTCAGCTGTCACCCCATGTCTGGAGAATGTGCCTGCAATCCAGGCTGGTCGGGACTCTACTGTAATGAGACGTGCTCTCCTGGGTTCTATGGGGAGGCTTGCCAGCAGATCTGCAGCTGCCAGAACGGGGCTGACTGTGACAGTGTGACCGGAAAGTGCACCTGTGCCCCTGGATTCAAAGTGAGTGACTTGGGCAATGCAGACAGAAGGAGGGTGTAAGAGGGAGCATGTCAACACCGTAACTCACACTACCTCTTAAAGTTCAGTAAATGTGCTCAGATCATTCACATCACCAATGAGAAGAATACAGAGAAAGTATTAACAGAAATATAAGTAATGACCTGAATTCAAGTGAAGACCAGGAAAGCTGATAGAACTATAAATGTACCATTAATTTTTAATACAAGAATATGTCAGCAAGCATGATGTATTACTATTATCCCTGAAGCTGTTGTTTTACTGTCTTTTCATAGGGAACAAAAAATTACTTTCCCAAGTAGATTAGGATTTTTTTTCCCCTTGGTACTGGGACTCAAACCTATGACCTCACACTTTCCAGGCAGGCAATGTGCCAATGAACTATATCTCCGACCCTTAGATTAGTTATTATTGTCAACAGTTATTGTCTTAATTTCATGAAATTTAAAGGGATATCATGCATCAAGTTAGCATTTATCATAAACTTACATTCTATAGTTAGTTGCACATCATTTTTACGTTGGTTTGAGAATCAAGGCACTACAAATATGCCTCTATACTAGTAAAGCAGAATTTTGCCTACAATTTCCAGGACTTTTTAGCAATAGGTAGGAATCTTTTAAAGGAAAATGTGTTGCTCTTGAATTATTTCCACCCATTCTAAAGAAAATAATGTTGAACTTTGAAGAATGTTAATGATCATTCCAGAGCACATAATGTTGAACTGGGGGATCATAAAATTGCAGAGCTGAGGGAATCTTTACAAGGTTTCCAAACCTGTACCACAGTCATTTTACTGAGCCCTCCAGTAAAACCTTTGTTTTGAAAAGAGCCCCTGCACCCCTACTTTTTTGAGAACAGATGCCCTCTGGTTGCCTTTAGTAGCCCAGTTCTGTGCTTAATGCTCATTATTGAACAAATCGAATCATGCTGCTGGCTGATTGTGCACTGTTGCTCTTTTGCCCCCACTAATAGTATTACATAGTGCAAAGGAAGTCTAGGAAGCACTGAAACTAACATATAGTCATATCTATGCCCATATATTTATTGACAGTAATTTTACAGCTACAATTTAATATATTGACTTGTCTGAGCAAGGCTGAAAGGCCTATTTGTTTAGTTTCACTCCAAAAGCAGTAGGCTTTTGGGAGCCTCACCTAATATGCAGTCCTAAAGATAAGGCAGCTAGTATTACCCTTGAATCTCTAAAATTTGTGTAATGGTGATGTTAGAGAAACTTTTAAAAATACAATGTGTTAAAATTAGAGAGGAAACATAATTAGCATTGCCAAGGTATATTTTCGTTTATTTGTGTTGGCCTGATTGCAGTTGACAAGATGACCTGCATTTTGCTATCTGTGCTGTGTAGGGAATTGATTGTTCTACCCCGTGCCTTCCGGGAACCTATGGGATAAACTGTTCCTCTCACTGCAGCTGTAAAAATGACGCTGTCTGTTCTCCTGTGGATGGTTCTTGTACTTGCAAGGCAGGTAAGAGTGGGTGAAGGAGTCATTTATTTTGTTTGGGTCCTCTTGTCTGCTAAAGTCACAGAAGGAAACCATGACAGGGTCCTTGTCAGTTGCTTAACCAAGTCAATGCCCGACCTCAGCAAGCCCCGCCTGCTCTCCATGTGGGCTCTGATGTCTTCATGGGTCAAGGAAAAAGGCTCACATCAGATGATCTCTGAAGCTGTTGCCAGCTGTAAGAGTCTGTGAGTCTGTGCTGTGGGAGGGGTGACAGGAAGACGTGTGTCTGTACCCCTAAACTGACTGGCCTGGAGTCACGACAAGAAATGCAGCCAAGCACAGAATGTGTCCATCCATAATGCAGCCAGGGTCTTGGATACACATTGTTCATGGTTAATGGGGTCCTGCGTCAAAGATAGGACGTTCTTTCAAGCACAGCCTTTCTGCTTTTTCCCATATGAATATTCCAGTTTTCCCAATGTGAGCAGCATTCAGCGTCCCACCATCATGCCTCACTGCACATGAAAGTTGGCCCCATTCTGTATCTCTTTCCCCAGTAGCCCAGTGATGCCTCTCAGTGTTGGCATCCTTGGCAGATGACACAACACACAGCTGTTTGTGTCCTCAGGGTGCCTTTGTTCAGTCTGTGGCAGAGCCAAGGCCTTCCGCTGCTGGGGCCCGGCGGGGAGGTGCTGCTATGCATCCTCAAGATGTTTCCAAAAGGAAGCGTTGTGCTGCCTTACTTCTCACGTGCCCGGCATTCTTGTCCTGCAGGCTGGCACGGCGTGGACTGCTCCATCCGCTGTCCCAGTGGCACATGGGGCTTTGGCTGTAACTTAACTTGCCAGTGCCTTAATGGGGGTGCTTGCAACACCCTCGATGGAACCTGCACGTGTGCCCCTGGATGGCGTGGGCAGAAGTGTGAATTTCCCTGCCAGGTAAGCCTGCCCCCTCCAGAAGGCCTGGGAGGAGCTGATGCAGGAGGGTTGATTTCTTTTTGCAGTTTTCCTGATTTAAAGTGGCTGAGTGTGAACCAAACTTCAGCAGCTACTAGAAGCACCAAGGTAGATATAGGGTTAGAAGTGAGATGGACACAGAAATCACTCGTGAAGGCTTTGTGAGAATGTTCTCTTTCTTCTGTGTCTGTCCTGGTGCCTCCACACCCAGTCAAGTGTTTTCTCTTTCTGGTAGACTCATCAGTTGTTGGCAGGCCGTCGGCGGCACTGGTCAAACACCCAGTGTCTGCCTGTCACTCTCAAATAGTTTGTTTCCATTATAATGGAAAGCCCTAGCCTTTGGGGTGGGAAGTGACAGGGGGCTGAAAAGGGGTGGTGGCTGGTGTCACAGAAATGCTCACTGAAGTGATGAAAGAAGGTTTGGAAACAGCATAGTTTAATGTAAATAACTCTGGAGGCAAAACAGTCTCCTAAAATTTCCCTAGTTCAATGATCACTCCATTTTCTTGACCTACTTGGGAGATGTGAATTATGGGAAGTCTCTTCTGTATCTACTGCAGGCTGACGGGGTGCAAATGGGAAGTGTATTCTGTAGGAACCTGCTGGTTTCTCTTTGTACACTTGACTGGTTTTTTTGCCTCCTTTGCATCTCTCTTTCTTCCATGGAAATGCTTTTCTCCAGAGCCATTAAGCGCTCTCTCTATGATATGTGTTCTCTGCCTCCAGCACATCGTCACGTGGCAAGACAACAATGGGACCCCCTGAATTAGGCCTGTGAGAAGGGACTTCCAAGGAGGCTTTTCTCTCTCTGGGTTTCCTCCTCATTAAGGACAACCCATTTCCCAAAGCACTGGGGACTCCCTCCCCACCGGGCTGTGCCATGCCCTCGAAAACACCAGGACAAGGTCAAGTTAGCTTTGGTGCCTCTCTTCGGACCAGTGAACAGATGAGCAGTGCTTGCAGATGGGCTGGAAGGTTACCTTTCACTCCTGTCTGACTATGGACAGAACTAAGCCCCTGGAACCACCTTGTCCTTTCTCCTGCTTTGGATATGTTAGGCAGTCAGTGAAGGGCGATAGTTAGTGACCTATACCATGGCAGAGCTAACGGCTGTGCAGCCCTATCAAATAATAGTGAGGCCTAAAAAAATGGTTCATTAAGTTCTAGACAGATGATCATGCCCTCTAACACCCATTGCTTATTGATGGTTCTCATTGTGTCCCCCTGCCCCGTGGTAATGGGTGCCCAGATTTAATTAGTCCTGGGTTAGTCTGGGGAGGTTTGAGCACTCTCCTTCAGTTCCCAGGATCTGGCATGAAAAAGCAGGGTTTTCCTGGCAAATCAGAGCCTTTCACTCTTTTTCCGTAAGTGAAATGATCCGTCCACTGAGAGTCTCATCTCTGTCAGACCACCCACGCTAATGTGCTGGTAAAACATAAAGATCCAGGAAGAGAAGAGGAAGGAGGACGTAACAGCATGTATTTAACATTTCATGTGGTCTAGACTTCTTCCTGTAGAGGAAAATATTTATTAGGGAAAAGTACGGAAAACTTTTCACTTTTCTTTGTAGTGCCAATGTATCTAATTGAAAACTTATGGAAATGAGATTACTCATATTAAAACTATAATTAAAAAACATGTATGGGGTCAGGGCCCACTAAAGAATAAAAGAGATTATAGGGAGCACAGAACTGTGTTATAAAATCTTTAGGAACAAGAGAAAATATTTTAGAGTTGTATCTTATGATAACTTTTTAAAAAATTAACTGGCATGTTTACATACATCGTATATATGCATATCAGCATGCTGACATAATTTGTCTCACCACTCTTTGTCCTGATCATTGTATCAGGCATACACTGGAGTTTGAGCAGTTTTAAAACACTGATCTGAAGCTTGTACTGGGGGAACCAAGAAGGCAGGAAGAAGTGATTGTGATGGTATCTTTTTGTTTTTTTTTTTTTTTTTGGTTTTGGTTTTTCTCTGGTACCGGGAACCGAACTCACGACCTTGCGCTTGCCAGGCAGGCGCTTTGCCACTGAGCTAAATCCCCAGCCCCCTATGATGGTATCTTGAGGAGTGTTTGGGAGGGTAGGTCCTGATCTGAAATAGCTAGCTGCTCAGGACTCACTTCACAGGAGGCCCGGGTTCTCACTGCTGTGTTTGATGTGGTTTCCCTCACAGGATGGCGCATATGGGCTGAACTGTGCCGAGCGCTGCGACTGCAGCCACGCGGATGGTTGCCACCCCTCCACGGGCCATTGCCGCTGCCTCCCTGGATGGTCAGGTGAGAGCTCAGGGCTGCTCCTTCACAGCGGAAACCACCAACTGAAGGCCTACACTGTGCCTTGCTCTCTCAGAGACACACGCATCACCTTTTCAGAAAAAAAATGAAAACACAGTGAAGTCCTCAGTAAATGAACACATTCTACCCATGGCATGTAATTACTAGTTTTATTTCATCTGCAACCCTGGGCTGATGTTGTTGTTTTGTGCACGGGCAATTCTCTGAGCTTGTGTACTAGGTCGTTTCCAGAGTTCAGGCCATAAAGAAGGGAGAAATGTGAATAGCTGTAAAGAGCTCAGCTGTGAAGGTATCTGTCTGTGATAAATTTGAATGGTGGGAAGAGGAAGATGGCTGAAACAAACCCTAGGAGTGTAAAGCTGATTTTGTTTCACCTTAGTGAGACAAAAATATTAAACACTAATAGTAACATGGTAAATACGCAAATATTTCAGCGTTATTTCCTAGAAATAGAAGTTTTAAAACTTTCTTTTTCTTACAATACATGTCAGTCATGACAAATTCATAGTACGGTTGAGCATACATTTTCTAACCACAGAGTAGGGATTTTTCCTTATTTATGTGGTATCGTGATTTCAGCTGGGAAGTTTATCAAGCTAACAGTGATCCTTGAGGAAGAATGATGATTTTGCTCATGACGTACAGGCTCACTTGGACATGTCATGCCGTCTTCCACATCTGTAAATCATGAGCAACAACATTGTTATTCTTCCAGGACCACTTTATATTCCCACCAGCAATGTGTGAGGGATCTAGCTTGTCCATATCCTCACAAACATATCTGTCTTTTTCATTACAGCCACCCTAGTACATGTGAAATGGTATCTCATTGTGGTTTTGCTTTGCATTTCCTTGATGACTAATGATGTTGAGGATGTATCCATGCACTTAGTGGCCATCTGTATATCTTCCTTGTAGAAATACCTTTTCAGATCATTTGCCAATTTTAATTAATTTTTTCTTCTTTTATTTTTTAAATTTTTGCTTTTATTGTTGTGTTCTCTATATATTTTAGACAATATCCTTTATCAGATATATGATTTCTTCCATTCTTTGATATGTTTTCTTAAAAATTTAGTCATGTATTCCTTGCAGCAAAAAAGTTTTTATTCTGATAAAGTTCACTTTATCTATTTGCTTTCATCATTTTTTTTTTTTTTCTTTTTTGGTACTGGGAATCTAACCCAGGGCCTTGCTCTTGCAGGCAGGCACTGTGCCACTGAGCTACATCCCTAGCCCTATGTTATCTGCTTTCTAAGTTCTATTATTTGTGCTTTTGCTTTCAAATCTAAGAAATCGCTGCCTAATCCAAAGTCACAAAGGCTTATACCTATGGTTTTTTCTAAAACTTTTATAGCTTTAGCTTTTATGATCATGTCCTTGATCCATTTTAATTGCATAATTAGTGGGTCCCACTTTATTTTACTCTTCTGCCTGTTAACATACAGTTGCCCTACCACTGCTTATTGAGAAGACAATTATTTCCCCTAGGATTGCCTTGACACCATTGTCAAAAATCATTTGTGCATTTTAGTGGTTAAAACTGATTGATTTGGGAGCCACCCAGGAGATTGGATATGTCTGGGTGGGTCGTGGCGGAATGGCTTTGGGGTCTGTATAGGTCTTTGATCCCTTCTGCTAGGACCCTTTTCCCTGCTCTGCTTCCCAGCCACTTTTAAGCATCTTTTGTCTGCCACAGTTTTCCACCATAATGCTGCTGCCCTGGAGGCCAGTGACCACGGACTGAATCCTTTGAGATCATGGGCCAAATTAAACCCCTCCTCCTTAAATTGTGGGTGTTGTACTGGTGTTGGGCATTGTGTTTCGACAATCAGAAAGCTGACTAATACAGAAAATCTCTATCAGAAGTGGGGTCATTGGTGTGACTGTAGTTGACTATGTGGTTCAAAAGTCTTTGGAACTTAGTTTGTGAGAGGAGTTTTGAAGGGTTTGGAGATACAGACACAAAAGCCCTGGAATATTGTAAATAGTATGATGGGTGATTCTGATCAGAGCTCAGGGGACCAGAATCCTTAGTGAAATGAAGGCAGTAAGTGCCAGGCTAGGGAAGTTTCTCCTTTTAACCAGATTTATAGTGAAAATCAGGGGCAAACAGCAGAAGAGAAAATTTGAAGAACTTAAATTTTGACATGAAGGAACCATGTTTAAAGTTTGGATCAAAGTAGGTACAATGCTGAAGAGATTAGCACCACTTAAAAGGAACCAAGTACTTTGTTTAGGGACAAGAAAAATCCATTGAGGGCATCTCAGGAATCAGAAAAAATCCACCCACTGCAGTCACAAAGGTGCAAAATGTAAACCTTTTCATATGAGAAGAGAACTCCTGAGTCCCCTGCCCAAAAAGTGCTGCCTAAGGATTTGATTCCTTGGGTTTAATTTTACCATGCCCACCTACCCAATCACTCAGAAGCTGGTGCAGCCCTGGCTCATGGGGGTCTGGATACTCTGTGCTGGTGCCAGACCATGGCATCACCAGTGTGATGCTGGTTTTACAAGAATGCAGAATGCAAGATTGATGGAGTCAGGGAGACTTCCACCCACATTTCAAAGGAAAACCTGGGAAGCTAGGTAAAAATTCCCTCAGAAGGCAGTGTGTGAAGCTATGGGAATGCAGTCAAACATGTGTTGGAGTCCCTAAGAAGTCTGAGAGACCAGAAGCATAGAATATCTGCTAAAAAGGCTGCAGTGTGTGAGCATAGATAGCCCATGGCTATCTTGGCTGCATCCGGAAAGGCTGTAGGGCTGGGGCTGCCCAAAACCCTTTAGAACTGATATGCCCTGGGTGCCAGAGATGAAGCCACAGGACTTAATGTTTTCCCTGCTGGGTTTCAGTCTTGCTTTGGTCCTATTATTTTCTATTTACCTATTTCTTTGTTTTGGAAAGGAAATGTTTACCCTGTACTATTGCAGATTGGGATTATGTGACTTGTCTTATTTTTACAGAGATTCACAGCCGACAGTTTGCCTTGATTTTCAGGAGAGAGCTGGAATTGAGCTTTTGAAAATTTTTGAAACTGTTGAGATTTAGAGAAGCGATCACTGCATGTTCAGTTTTATGCAAGATAGTTGTGTAATATTAGGAAGAATTATGAATTTGTGTTTATTTGGGGATTAAGTATGGTTTAAGGAGCTGTGTTTGAGTGTCAGGTTCAGAAGGGATGGGATGTGACAGTAAAGCTATGTCCGCATCGTTGGCTTGGGAACTACTGAGGAAACTGGTGGAACACACTTTGGGTCAGTGAGGTATGGCCTCAGTACGATATCTGGTCCCTCACTCCTTCTGGAATTGTCCCCCTGCTTTGCTTATCAGCTACCATGGATTAAACATCTTTGTTCTGCCATACCGTTCTACCATGACGTTTCTGCCTGCAGACAGCTGGCCATAGACTGAATCCACTGAGACCTGAGCCCAGTTAAGCTTCTTCTTTAGTTTGAGGATATCGCTCATTGTGTCTCAGCAGCAGGAAAGCAAACTACTATACCCACACAAATTCTGAGGTTTTTTTATGGACTCTGTTCTATCCCATTGATCTGTATGTTTATCCTTATGCCAGTACCATACTGTTTTGATTAGTATAGCTGCGTAGGAAGTTTTTTCTCAGAATTATTTTAACTATTTAGGGTCTCCTGAATTTCTATGTGAATTTTAAGATCAGCATATGAATTTCTATAAGAAGCAAGTTAGAAATTCTGTGGGGATTCAATCTCTAGATCAGTGTGGGGAATAGTGCCAATTTAACTGTATGAAATCTTCAATCCATAACATGGAATGTTGCCAGCAATCTTAGAATTTGTGGAGAATTTCTTTGCTTTCTGGTAGGTGTAAAATGACATGACCATCATGTGCTTGATTTCTGGTGTCTGAGAAATGCTTTGGGAAATAGGCAAGGCTGGTACAAAAGACTTCATTTCCTGTCAGTAGGAACCACCCACAAACAGAATTTACTCAAAACAAGCTTACTGAGAAAAGATATTAGTCTATCCAGTATTGAGAATAAAATGATGTAAGTATTACACATAATTTGCTTTTCCTTTTAGAAAAATAAGTCAGTTCTTGGCTCAACTATAGGATGTTCTTAAACTGTAGGATGTTTTGAGCAAGCTCCTTCTAGACTTCTGCATGCTGACATTATAGTATGAAATTCCACCTTCCTGTGCTCCTATTGGCTCTCTATTACTAAATGCTAAAACTTAATCACACCAGGGATTAAACTAAATTGTGTGACTTCATCGGGGAACTTGAAGTTCTCAAATGCACTGACCAGTACTGATTTCTTAAGACCACAGTGAGGCAAAATAGGATTTTTAACCTTCTGACATTCAAAACTTGCCTAAAAGAGATTCCACATGACTTAGTTTGAAGCTATACTCCTCCAAACATACTTTTGTGTGAATTTATAAAGAATATGCAGTGTCTCTGAGCGCACCAGCCAGTGCTCAAGGATCCACCTGCTTTGATGATTTAGAACCAGCCTGTGAAAAGCACACATGAAGAAAGCAAGCAATGATTTGGCCTGAAGCCAGCCGGAAAACTGTGGCATTCCACTGTCTGGGTCAGGGGATAAGACAAATGATCCCATCTGGCCTTAGACCTATCAAGCTCCTTCAGGAATGCAGTGCGTTTGTCACACAATGTAATCTTGTAATCCTCTGCCCATCTGTGACTGGCCTGTCTCTCCAAAAGGAAGGAAGCTTTGCTGCCCCAGGAGGATCCATCTCTCATTGCCCACCGTGGCCATGCCTCATGGCCTGTATGTCTTTATTGCTCCTCGCCAGCTCAGTTGTTCCAGTGCTTTGTCTCTCCAGGTCTTCTGTGTGGGCTGTTGGTGTGTGAACATCTGTCAGTATCTAAGCCTGCTGTGAAGTTGTTCCTCTGCACTCACAGAGCACAATGGGACAAGGAAACACATGAAGAGGAAAAGAAGTTCCAGAATTTCAGAAACATCCTACAGTTGAACCAA